TCTTTCTAGAAAATGACTGATTAGGCTAAGTATTAGAAAAACAGACTGACAGCACAAAAGACCTCCAGCTCTCCTCCCTTTGTATGCAGGCACAGCGTAAGAAATGACAGACAGGGGTAAAATTAAGAAGAATGACTATAGCAATGGAAATTGCAATAGCAGTACCAAAACTTACTACACCCCAAGAACATGTTCTTAATGCTTGACCTAAAATGAAATTTCCTCACTCTGAACTCCACCAGGTAGAGGCAGAAGAGAGAGAAACGTAGCTTTCTGGCATTCTTTAACAATGTAAGTTGCTTTAGGGACTGTCCATTGCTTCATTGGAGTGCATGACATGTAAGAGGTTCTTTAAGTCAACTGTTCCCAAATCTTTGAAATAAAAAAAAAGTCAAGCATATAGCTCTTGAACTTTTTAGTATTAAGCCACCATCGCTCCAACATTGAAGAATTTTAAAAAGTAGCCTGCAAAAGTCAAAAAGACTGTTTCACAGATGTCGCTTGTATCTAGACAGTGAGGGGTTACAAATATGACTTCCCCCCCATATCTCCTTGTTTTTCAAAATATGGTTGCACCTGTATTTTATATTCTCTAAGATATATTGCTTTTTTGATAATGAATTTCTCTTAGTTGGCTCATCAAATGTACTGTCAAGCTGCTTCTTCCTCCCATGCAGAATGACTTTAGAGCTAGCTTTACATTGAGATCTCCTAGGGGGCTTTTGAAAACTCCTAGTTAACAGACATTGCTTCAAGCCAGTGAAACTAGGCTCCCTGAAGTCGGGACACAGGCAGAATGGTGGGTGTGTAAAGCTCGCTTGATGAGTCAGCTATGTGAGCATCACTGCTACAGAGGACATTGGAAAGTAGAGACCAACTGGCTAGATAGAATCTTGCATATGAAGGACGTATGGGAATGTCCACCACTCCCCATGAATTACCAACAGAAGCAAGTTGCTTGGGTTGTTGATTGGGCTTGGATAGTTGACTCAACTTTAACAGTTTGGCCAAAATACTTTTGATATGTAAAGAAAATAAATAGGGATTGGGAGAGGTAGAGAGACAATGATCAGAGAGCCAAACATACAGCCTTATTTCCAGGGTCTTCAGAAGAATCCTCTCATCCTCCAGCTCTAGAAGACTCTGTGCTTGTTGTTCATGGGTTCTAAGGTGAAGGGTCTCATGGAAGGCTACAGTCAGGTAGGCAGTCCACAGTAGCAAGTCATCTCTGAGTTTGTCCTCTTTGGCTTGGATCTCTCACTCTATAGAAAGCATATTAGGCAGGGCTCTCTAATGGAACAGGATCAATAGAACATAAATAGTAAAGGGGAATTTTGTTAGATTGGCTTGCACACAGGTGCCTGGTAATCCAACAACATCTATCTGCTTGTTAGGTAAAAACCCAGTAACTAACTGCTCAGTCCATGAAGTCCTCAAACCAGTCTCAAACCAGAAACTATGGAAGTTCCTTGGAGAGCCACTGTTACAGAATCATGTTAGTGTGAAGTCACCAGAGGATGACACAGTTGTGCTAGACATACTTACCCTGAAGCAGAAAGGAAGGCATGTTCCACTGCTGCTTCTTTGAACCTCTTTCTGTCTGAGCAAACCCTTGATAGGAGCCTCCCACACTGAGAACAGACCTTCTACTTCAGTTAATTCTCTCTAGAAATCTCCTGCAGATGTGCCCAGAGGACCATCTCAATCTCCTAGGTGATTTTTATCCAGTCCCTCAGAGATCAAGATAGCCAGCACGGGACCTAATTATTCTTAAACTTGGGTGATAAATAACAATATAGTAAATATTAAATCCCAAGCTGTCTTGTTTCTAGTACTCAGGATAGTACCCAGTACTTGACATTATTAACAAGTTTTAAGATGCTGTTGTACCATTACTATAATGCATCAGACCAGGTCAGACAGCAGAGGCGCAGCAGATTTCAATAGAATTTCCTTGTGTTCTATAAGAAGGATTGTAATGTAGTCTAGAAATGAGTTGTGTTCTATTTCCACACATTTATCAAGAGTGTGAGAGCCATTGGACATCTTTTTAAGTAATTATGAGAACAATTATGGATTTAAAAATAGGTATCCATTTAGTTTGCTTGTCTCTGATGTATTTGCATTAGAAATTGGCAATATTTAAATTGGATTTAATTTTAGAGCCTCAGCTTTTCCTAGGACAAGACTAAAGCAACAACACCTATAAAAATCAGTTAATATTCTTGGCAGGAAATTCTCTTTCCTGCAGCAAACTGTTGTACCACCACTGGATGAGAGAAGACCAAGGGCATAGAAGATGCTGGAAGGAGTCTCAAATCTAGCCATCAGGCACGGGAATGGTCTGGGCAGGAGACTGGAGTACACCAAGGTTACCTGTGCAAGAGGCTATGGATATTATCGCTAAGAAACTTGTGAGTGTGTGGACTTCATTCCCCAAGAGGGCAAGTCTACAGAGCTGTGGACTATGTATATATAATTTACATAGGCAGCTTCTTTAATTCCAATCACTTACATTAGAAGGCATTCAATAGGGGAATATCTAGAATATTTACAGTTACTTTTCCTTCTCTGGTTGTCCCATGGATTAAAAGTGAACGTTTGTTGTGTATTGTGGAAAGCAAGTGGGCAGGCTGCAGCAATGGAATCCCCAAGCTCACTATCCCCTGCTGATACAAAGGCCTACCACATATGCCTTTCACTCTTGCCCACTCTCCAACCCTTGTTACAGCCAGCTCTTGAGCTGCAGGGCTGTGTAGTGGATTTTCTCTTCATTCTTCTGCAGTTCCTGCTCATCCTTAAGAACCCTGCTCAGATGTTACCCCTTCGTGAGCACATGACTCTGACTAGCCTGGATAGAGCAAATAGTTTCCTAGGCTCATTATGTTTCCCATCATGAGTAATGTACACCTTGATCATCACACTAATTTAAATGCTTAACTTGCATTGACCCTTCCCTCTAGATGATTTGCTATGCAAAATACTGTGTCTTATTTCTCTCTGTGTCTCTAGCACCTAGCACAGTGTCTGGCACAGGGCCAGAAATTCCAATGTTTAATTGATGAGGTTAATGAATTTCAATGTAAGGGTAGTGAAAAGATTGTTTACTCATAGTGCCTTAGTCTCACAGAGGACCAAGTCGGAGGGACCTGTTCCTCTAGGTGACACGGAGATATTCAGATGTCTTACTTAAGAATCAGAGGGAACTAAGTTGGGGCACAGGTCAGTGGCTTCCAACCTTACAACCTGTGCAGTTCAGCAGAAGGGCTTTGGGAATTGATGAGCTCCCCACTTGAGTGATGAGGCTAGTCACACACACACCTCCTACACCAGGGCACATGCCATCCTCCCTCCCCCAGGCTAAGCACAACCAGGCATATCATTGAGATGTTATTTGTCACAGAATCGCACAGAAGTTTTGAAGAGCATTAGAGTAAGGTTTTCTCCATGCCTTGTTTTTCTGTTAGTGTTTGAAACACAAAGGGAGTGTGTTGAGTAGGGTTTGGAAGGAAGAGGAATAGAAACATCCCAGCCTTTGATGCCATGCTTCCCAGTAACACAGAAGCCACTCCTGGGCCCCTTTCACCTCCAACCACTCTTCACAGAAAGACAGTTGCCCCTTGGGAGGTTTCCATGACATCTGCTGCCACAGGAAAAAGGGGCAGTGGGGATGGTCACAGGGGAGCAAGGCATGGCCAGAAGAAGGATTTATGGGACTCAAAAAAGTATAGACAATAAGGACAAAGGTGTGATTCTCAAGCTTTCTTTACAGACTTTCTTCACAGACTTAGTCATCTGTCCATTTGTCCTTCAACATTACCATGACACTCTGGTGCTTAAAGTGCCCACTCCTTTCCTGTTGGCCCCAGGGATGCAGCTGTGGCCTCTGGCTTCATTCTAAAGACCCAATTGCTCTCTCTCTCTAGCTCAGCTCACAGGTCTCTTCCTTCATGCTAGATACTTTGACTTATCTATGTCCAGGACTTTGAGGTTTACTCTTCCTTCCACCTGGAATACTCTATCCACCATTCCTTGTCGTCAGCTGGAGGGCAGCTTCCTAGTTGAGCTCCTTACTGAGCACTCTGTCTACATGGTCCCCCATATTCCTGTCTCTCTCCTCACACCATACCTGTTCTCTTTATGGCATAAGCAGAGTCTAAAGTATTTATCTCTACTAGACTGGAAGGTCCACAGTGGAGGTCGAGAACTTGCCTGTTTTGTATACTGTTGTGCCTCCAGCACCAAGAATAGTGTTTGCCACATAGTAGATGCTCAGGAAATGAATGAATGAATGAATGAATGAATGAATGAATGAATGAACGAAGCACCCACATGTATCAGGTTGACAGAATTAGTAGGAAAACAGCGGCTCTAGAAGCTGTAAGTTAAAGCTTATTTTCCCATCATTGTGTCATCTCCATAGCTTCTGATTTCTGAAGTTTGATTTTTAGTGTAGTGTCCCATGACCCCTGTCCTGGTACAACAAGAGGTCTAAGTGATGAGTCAAGTAGTTTGTCCCATTCCCACTGCTTCTCTTGTATTTCCATCAGAGGATTGGCCTGTTGGAATTCCCGGGACTTTTGAACTTGTACTATTACATCATCAAGACTGGGTGGAGCCAGGTCTACTACATCTGTGCTCTGGCAGTGTGCAAAATAATTTTCATTTTGGTTTAGGCATCAGTGGAGCATAACTCTACTATGGATCTGGAAGCCACTATACTAGGTGCAGTCCTGCTGTGGACTGTGTCTAGGTTGGAACTGGTAAAGGCAAGTACCATTGCAGGACCATACAAGACCTGAGCTCTGCAAAACCAGAGCTCTGCAAGCCTAGGACTCTCAAAATCTTGACAATGGACTCTTGTGCCTTCCTGGACCCTAATGTTGCCAAAATACTGGAATTGTGGAGACAGTGCTTGCCTCTCTGCCTAGGGCTCAGGTGTCCACCCATCTGCTAGGGAATGATGATAACCCTTGTCTAACATCAGCTCTCCTTCACAGAGTTTTGGCCTGTGTTCGTGCAGTCCAGGGGGCTGGATGGCATGCTGGACCCAAGCTCACCTCAGTGTCTGGGCCCAATAAAGGCTTTGCCAAGGACGCAGCTTTCTATCCTGGCCACTGTAAGGTAAGTGCCTATGGGACAGCTGCCTTCCTGGGGTGCCTAGCTCTACAGCTGCTAGGCTAGGAAGCTCCCAGTGACACACAAGTGGAAAAATTACAGGTTCTGGAAGGGGAGTCAGACCTGATGGATTGGTAAGGGCCAAAGCTCTTAGTGGCACTGCAAACGGGCTTGTACAAAGAGGTCCTTTTGCTCTGTAGCTTCTAGGAACACATTAAAAGTCATATAACCCAAGCCCTTGAGTAGACAGACAGCAACAGACAGATACTTCACACTCCCCAGAGCAGTCTGAGCAGGTGTCCTTGTAAGGCAGAAAGTCTGTGGTCATTCTTGGAGCCTGAGTAGAAGAGTAGGGAAGAGTGCCATATCTGGACACTGGCAGGCCTGGCTCTAAGTTCTATTTTACACTATGTCAAAGACCAAATGATTTAATCTCTATGTCCTCTGTTCTCTCAACCATAAAATGGGATGGGATGAGCACACCCTTGTCCCAGGTGGTTGGGATGACTGATGAGACATAGATGTGACTCTGGGACTCAGAACAGCACGTTCTGTTCCTGTGTCCATAGCTCACACACCTGTCCTGAAGAACAGGAGCTATCCAGGGGGTCTAGAACCTTCTAGACTCTCTGGCCATGTGTCACCATCATGGGCATCTTATGTACTTTTTGATCAAGACACTCTTGGAACTGGATTCTAGATGTCTTTGTAATATTCAGAAACCTGAGATGCCAAACATAAAAGCGATCAACCATCAGTGTGTTCCTTTGGGTCTGAATGTATGGTACCATGGAGGTGAAACTCACACTCTGAGAATTGCATTTGGGTGTTGGAGTAGTTAGGTGCATCTCAGGATACACTATCAATCAGAGTGCAGAGGCTGAGCAACTGAGTGGTCCTGGCACACACTAGCCACATTACCCCAAATCATTCAGTTCTAGTCTAGTAACTCTCAAAATGTGTCCCCGGATCATCAGCATCAGTGTCACCTATAACTTGTCTGACATGTTTCTTCTACTACTACTCCTAAGCCTAGAGAACCAACAATTCTACAAGTAGACAAAGCTGCTTGGCTTAACAGCTCTCCTGGTGCATCTGATGCCTGAAAGACCAGTCTGATGTCACTTTCAAGCTGTTCCTCCTCATGAGTATTGTGTAGACCAGCAGAAGCTCTGTTCTGTCACCACTCATCCATGTTCATCCCAGGACACTATCCCAGGACCCTCCCTTGGGAGTTAAGAGCCACTGAATTCCATTTGTACTCTTCCTAGGCTCTAGAAGGAGAATTCTCAAGTCTTAAAATGGAAGCCAGCAGCCATTTTACATTTAGAATGGAGACCAAGTTGAAAGCAAAACATGACCCTTTGACCTCCTGTCAGATTGTAGCCAGTGAGATGGAAGAGGCTGGATTCCTTGGTCACAAGAATTGTCTTTCTGGCCAACAAGTGATGACCCAGGTTCACAGATCTAATCTCTAGCCCAAGAATTGTGAATAGCTCTTGACATCTCTCTCTAAGACAGAGATTTTTCTTCTTCCATTCTATGAGACACGTCTCCTAGGCCTAGCTGGTAGGCCTCTTGGCAACTTGAGACAAAGACTAATTAGGATCAACTGTTTAGCTCTGTCTAGCAGCTTCATCACCTAGTCAGATAAAGCCAGACCTGTGTAAATATTATTCATTGATACAGGAGCATCTCCTACTATGGAGGTAAATTCTGGTAAACCACAGAATACTCTGTTAGCCAGGGAGAGAGTCCTGATGGAGGCTCGGGGGAAAGCTACCCCTAGGACAGGCTCCTCCTCTTTCCCAGCCACTTAACTTCTATTCTGGGTAGAAGCATAACAAAATGAAGAATATTTGTACCTGAAATGGAATGTGTTCCTTCATGTGAGCCCTAGCTTCTCTCCCCAGATAAATGTCTCACTCAGACATGTGTCATAATGCTACACAGAGGGCTGTCACCTGCTCAGGACACAGATTTTAAGGATTCATTATAAATAAAGCAACCCCTCCCTGCCTCACTTCATCCAAGGAGAATGGATACTAGTGCATTCTGTCCCTGGAGATAGAAAACAGTATGGATTATTTCTCTCTTTTTCTGTATTTGCTGATGACTATGAGACTTTTCTAATATTTTTTTAAAGAGTATAGGAACACATCAAATCAATATGGTTCTTCCAAATTACATTTTGATCAAAAACTGACGAGATCTACTTGAGCTATTTTCAACTCTTAATGAACTGTCTGTCCATAATGCAAGTCTCCATTGCCACTGAATGGTCATGGTACCATGTGCTCAGCAAAATCCACAGACAGCATGAAGAGTTTAAAACATTGTGGAGTCTGTTGTGTAGAGAAAGAATGCAGCATATAGAGTAGAAAACTTTGTAATTCCATGAAATAAGAAAGTTAGAGTCTGTAGACACTGTAAATATCAGCCCTCAGGTGGAGTAGTCAAGACACTCAGAAGGAAAGAGGTGCCTCCACATGCGATGCTCTTTGGAGGTAGAGAGGTGTCACGGGAGACAACAATGAAGCAGACAGCTTTCTACCTATGTGGAACTCTCTTCCTCCATCAGAGAGGATAAGAGAACACACCTGCCATAAGGAAAGTGGACCAGGGAGAATTTTTATGCCTAGAGCACTGGTTCTCAACCTGTGGGTTGCTACCCTTTAGGGGTCAAATGACCCTTTCACTACAGTCACCTAAGACCACTGGGAAACACTGATATTTACATTATGATTCATAACAATAGCAAATTTACAGCTATAAAGTAGCAATAAAAATAGCATTATGGTTGGGGTCATTACAATATAAAGAAGTGTATTAAAGGGTTGTGGCATTAGGAAGATTGAGAACCACTGGCCTAGACTCAGAAGTTATTGGGGTGATGCCATTGAAGTTACAGGTTGGGAGACAACAGGATGGGTTCTGACAGTAGAGAGAGAGAGAGCAGAAAGGGGACAAGGAATGCAGGGGAGGCCTGCCAGGAGGGAAGAGCCCACAGCAAGGGCAGGGGTGGCTAAGCACAGGGCAGGAGCTGTGTCAAGAGCTAGTGTGCGTGGGATGAAGAAATGCGAGGTAAAGTGGAAGGAGGCGGGGCAGTTGCCAGGCTGAGCCATCTGTTCTGCACATAGACAAGGGCTTACCACTGGCTTTGATCGAGTTCCTGAGGTCAGAGCAATGCATTAAGAAGCTTAATGGTGAAGATAGGGGAGAAGGCACTAGACTAAGAGAGAGGAAGGTCCAGAACATCAGAAGTGGTGTAGTCCCACCATCTGAGCCTGAAACACAGAAGTGAGGCTGGAAAGGAAGTTACAGCTACAGGCAATGCTACTCCAGTAGAACTCAAAACACAACATAGAGAGAGGTCTGGATGAAGGGCAGGGGCCAGAGGCCAGGATAAGCTGAGATTTGCAACTGGTGAATATACGCATGATGGTCCTAGTAATGGGAAAGCAAAATGTGAAGATGCCATTTAGGAGAATGAGAAACAGGAGCAATAGAGAGAGTGACCATGGAACTGTGTTGGGAAGGCACCATGTGGTCCAACCTTCGGCTGCTACTACTGATACAGAAGACAAAGGTGGGATGATGGTGGAATTGAGCATGAAGATTTTGTTCAGTGATGTCTTGAACTGAGACTGCCAATAACCCCAGAGAGATGCCCTTGGGAAGCAGGAGGTCCAGAGAGGACTCCAAGGGAGCGTGTGGACCAGGGACGGAGCTATGGGAGTTGGCAGTCAGCTCAAAAGAGGATGGACTTCCCCAGCAGAGACTCCAGGATGAGAAAATGGGAAACGCAAGGCAGGCTTTACTTCCATTGAAACATTAAACTCTGGTCAACTTTTCTTCAGTTCCTGCTCCAGTTCTAACAGGTGTTACCAATTTGGGTATAAAAGTATGGATTTCAGTTCTGTGTCTTCTGCCTTAATTCACCTGATGAAAGATACTGTGTACCGAGAAGAAAGGCGTGGAACAAGAAAAGGAACAGACATAAAAGTCTGGATGAGCTGCCAAAAGAATGATCAATCCTCTAAGAGTTGGCAAGACAATTATCAGCAAGACCTTTAGCCATCAGATCTGGGAGGGGAAATCAAAACCTCAGGTATACCGACCGCCTCCTCCTCTGCACGGGTGGCTGGAGAAATGGAGACACAAAAACATTCCTAGAAGAGAAAAAAGAATGTGGTTGGTTGTTTTTTTCCTTTTCTTCACTCCCACCAAGAAGAATAGTACTACATGGGATTCACTGGCTGAATGCGGATGGGAAAGCACTGTGCAGCCTTGGGCACAGTCAAAAGGATGCATGACTAGAATAGAAAGCAAAGGGTGGGCTTCTCTGACACCTCCATTCAATCTTTTCCTCATTCTTCATTTATTTCTTGTGAAGCTGCAACATTCCAGACACTGTATAGGGCCATGCAGTGATTGAATGAAATGAAAGTCACGTGGCTTCTAAAACACCATCTGGGAGGGAGACAGACATGAGAACGAATATCCATATCACCAGGTGAAGGAAATGCACAAGATAGATGTCCCCATAGTGATAGAGGAAGCTGCCATCCAGGTGGATTAGACAAGGCTGTGTTCTCTAGGACCACAGATGCAGGGGGTGGACAAAAATACAGGCTTTATAGAAATCTGAGAGAAGAACAACAATGTGCTCTGAAAACCCATAGGGGGGCTCAGAGGACAGCAGCAATAGACCTAAAGACCAAAGCCCGTGTCTTAATACAGATGTAATAACTCAGAATCAACACGCTTAATCCAAATATTCAGCCTGGAAAATAGTGTTCACTACCCACAAGGAAACTAAGGTGCAGTCGATTAAATGACTTTCAAATGCTGACAAATATCTGAGCTGTGTCTATCCAAAGTTTTCTCAGATCCAATGCTACGGCTTTAAGGCTTTTTTGACAGATAGGTAGATAGATAGATAGATAGATAGATAGATAGATAGATAGATAGATAGATGGATGGATGGATGGATGATGGATGGATAGATAGATAGATAGATGGATGGATGGATAGATAGAGCAGGAAAGATTACACATGCATACATTCGGACACATGCACACAACACATAGAGAGACAGAGACAGGCAGACAGATGGAACACGTATGTTAGTCATTAAAAGAAAGCTTTGAGGAGTAGGAAATATGCAAAATAGGCTGAAAAAAAATAGGGGAGGAGGCAAAATGATCCATCAGCACGGAAGATGAGAAAAAAGATAGAACTGGGGGCTTAGAAAACACTCTGTAGGAGATCCCTCTGAGCCAGCTGTGATCTGCAGAAGCTTCACAAAGGAGGTGGCCTCTGATCCAAATCTGCAGGTGTGAACTAGTGCTCGGTATGGGCGGCAATAGTCCCCAGAACAGAGCTGACTCTAGTGTCACTCGAGGTGAGCTTGATAGAGACTGATATTTGCTCTATACTCACCTCCAAACAATCAAAAGAAAGTAGTGCCTTTTTTAAAATGAAAGGGAAAAAGGGGAAGGAGGGAAGGTGCACCTGCTGGCTTGGTAAGAGGTGTTTTGGATTCTGTCCTAGCTTCTGCCTGTAGGTTGGTTTGTGGACTGGCCTCCCTACTCGTGAAAGAAAGATGGCAGTTCCTAACTAGAATGATCCCCACTTCCCTGCCCAAATCTTAAATTACCTGTGGTGCTTTGTGGATTTATTTCAAGAACGCCTAGTCTCCAGGCTCAGAGCTACTGAGTGAAGGGAAAAAATTCAGTTGCTGGGGCTTCAGGCCATGCTCCCTGCAGTGCCTTCCAGAACCTTCCCAAGGAAATCACATTCGGGGTGCAGGCACCACCATCATCCAGCCCTTCAAGCTGGCAGTCAGAAAGCCCAAAGGATTCTGTGAGTGAGACCCCCAAGTTTCTAGGCAGGAATTCAAGGGCCCTGTTGCTTCCCAGAACAGAACACGCACACAGCTTGCTCCGGTGAATGCCAGTGATCCCAATGTGATCGCTGCTGGCGCCCCTTCTCCTCTCACAAGTGTTCTACTTTGGGTGATGAATCCGGCTCTCTACCCATAGCCTACCAATGAAGCCTCCTGGCATCCTCTTGGGAGAACTCTGTGAGGGGGCCCGACACCGTTCCGATAGTGCTTAGCACCGCTCCCCAGTGTAACTTAGATAACCTCTCTGTCTTTGTCATTCCAGGTGCATAGCGTAATGTCCATGTTGTTCTACACTCTGATCACAGCGTTTTTGATCGGCGTACAGGCAGAACCATACACACATAGCAATGTCCCAGAAGGAGACTCTGTCCCCGAAGCCCACTGGACTAAACTTCAGCATTCCCTTGACACAGCCCTCCGCAGAGCCCGTAGTGCCCCTGCTGCACCAATAGCTGCCCGCGTGACAGGGCAGACTCGCAACATCACTGTGGACCCCAGACTGTTTAAGAAACGGAGACTCCGCTCACCCCGTGTGCTGTTCAGCACCCAGCCCCCACCCACCTCTTCGGACACTCTGGATCTGGACTTCCAGGCCCATGGTTCAATCTCCTTCAACAGGACTCACAGGAGCAAGCGCTCATCCACCCACCCAGTCTTCCACATGGGGGAGTTCTCGGTGTGTGACAGTGTCAGTGTGTGGGTTGGAGATAAGACCACAGCCACGGACATCAAGGGCAAGGAGGTGACAGTGCTGGGCGAGGTGAACATTAACAACAGTGTATTCAAACAGTATTTCTTTGAGACCAAGTGCCGAGCCCCCAATCCTGTTGAGAGTGGATGCCGGGGCATTGACTCCAAGCACTGGAACTCATACTGCACCACGACGCACACCTTTGTCAAGGCGTTGACAACAGATGACAAGCAGGCTGCCTGGAGGTTCATCCGGATAGACACAGCCTGTGTGTGTGTGCTCAGCAGGAAGACTGCAAGAAGAGGCTGACTTGCCTGCAGCCCCCTTCCCCACCTGCCCCCTCCACACTCTCCTGGGCCCCTCCCTACCTCAGCCTGTAAATTATTTTAAATTATAAGGACTGCATGATAATTTATCGTTTATACAATTTTAAAGTCATTATTTATTAAATTTTCAAAGCATCCTGTGTACCCACACTTGAGTCCTTTCTCTCAGTAAGAATACCCACAGAATTTGAGAGAGTGCAGAATGAACTGTCTCCAGCCTCTCTTGGCACCGCAACCCTTCTGAAACCCTCATTCCCAGCCAGCACTGCTCCGAGGGCTAGCTAACTAGTTTCAGACACTGCTCTGCACCCAGCATGATTAGCAAAGGAAGTCAGCCTGCAGGCTCTGGTTCACATTCCAGAGCCAAGTCTAACCAAATCCTTGAATTATCTGCTGCACAGCATGGGTCCACAAGTTTTGTTTGCCTCACTTGAGGAGGGAAGAGTAGTTGAGATTGGTTAGAAAGCAGGTTGCTATGTACACAGGCAGCCTCCCACCTCTGAGAGACCCAGGCTGGTCCTTGGAGGATACTGGGAACCCCCTGTGTGGATAAGTAGAGTCTTCACAAGTCTTCTGGCTTCAGTCAATTGGATGAGCAGTCTGTAGGAGCTGTAACAAAATCATCTCCTGAGGCCTGTCATGGCAGATCTGATTTCATCTTAAAACTGCCTTAGCTCTGATGGCTGCTTCTCTACTATTCCCCTGTGGCTGCCTGCAGAAAGATTTCACTACCCCAAGAAAACAGTAGGGCTTCCAAACTCCTTGCCACCCACGCACAGAAACAGCTCTGGCAGCAACTGTCGGTGGCCCCAGCGATCCAGCATCGGCTTCCGAGTAGAAAGCCAGGGACCAGTCAGAAAAAAACTTCTGAAAGTTTTTTATTCTGAAAGCTATTTATTAGATGATTTCCACTAGTGACCAGAGCTGGCTGGGACAAGGCCTGCGGAGATGAGAGAGTTGATGTAGAGCAGATATAGTAAGACTAACACAAGCTCTGGAAGATGGAGAGAGGAGAGGTCAAGTCAGTATGGCACAGCTGCTTTCTGTTCATAGGTGTGTGCCTGCGTGCCTGCGTGCCTGCGTGCCTGCGTGCCTGCGTGCCTGCGTGCCTGCGTGCCTGCGTGCGTGTGCGCGTGTACCCTCTATCCTTTACCAACTCCCTTTCCTCGTAGACAGCCAGTTGCCTGGGTGGTTTTGGGGAATTGGTAATGTTTTTAAATATGTTCATGCCCACTGTCTAAGAGCAGTAAGGGCATCAGAGAGACTGCAGGATCCTCCCTGGAGCAGGGTATGACCCAGCCCCACATAGTCAAAGTCACCAACCCTTTATCTTGTTTGTTTTTTATTGTTTTTTCCCTCAAGCCACATTTCCCTCCTAGAATAAGAAACCTCACAGGGAGATTTCACCACACCTCTCCTCCAAGGATAACAATGCCTACTCTGTTTTTCAAAAAACATCCCAAATTGTCCATCAGCTAAAAAAAGGAACCAGTTGCCTTCATTTCCTCTGTAAGCCTCCCTCCCCTGATCCACCCAACTCTCACTCAAATGGGCCAATAGGAAACTCAGAGACTTTGCAGTGAGAACTGTTAGATTAGGGTGAAGGCCTGGTGAAGTACGATGGCCTTTCCTATCAGGGCTACTGCAACTGGAATAAAGATTTATTTTCCAGAAACACTAACCAGAACATTCCGTGCTGTGATGCTGGGTCAGATAAAGGGAGCTCTCCCACCGGCCTGCATCTATGGGTTTTGCAGGGCTCCAGTTCCACGGCCTCAAAAGTATAAGCCCCTCTCATGAACAGAATATAAAGCCCTTCTCTTAGGGGGCAGACCTGATAGGTCCTAGTTGTGAAGAGAGTAACAATAGCGGAGACATTCTAGAAGCATCTAGGCAGAGCAGTGGTACCTCAGAGTAGATATACCACCAAAGCCGTGCCTAGAGAGCTGTGCCCTGTGCTGTCAGACTCTTTGGGAATATCTGAAAAATTGTCATTGTCTTTCCTGGCCAGCTTACAGAGCTGACTCAGCATCCACATCTTTAATGGAGACTGATTGAGGACACCCCATCTCCACAAAAGAAGTTCTATAGTTCCCAATAGCAACAGGCCGTCTGCTCCAATGCTCCCACTGTTCCCCCAAAGGGAAACAGTGCTTTAGGTAGTCCCTAGAGTCTAGATGTGGAAGCTAATGTTTCCACACCACATGAGGGGCTATCAGTTTGGCTGAAGAGAGCGTAAGCTGTCCAAAACCAACCCCCAGGCCTGGCCTTTCTGCAGCTTGAACTCTTCCCCTACATGGAGGTGAGCACCAGCCAGCAGACCTACCCTGGCTTTCCCTGAGAGTCCACTGCATGACCAGGGACCCAACCACTTAAGCATGAGAAAAAGCCAGCTCTGAATCTCCCACTGAGTTCAGAGAGAAGCAGTGACCCACCCCATGCTCTTTCTCCATGTCTTCCTATGACTTTCCACTTCTGTTTCCCTCTTCTCTTCAGCAGCTTCCTCCATCTGAAGGTCTCCAACCTGCCACAGAAAACTAACACAAACCCACCATCCTCCCTGCTAGCCCAGCCCAGCATCTCTCCAGGATCCATTCCTTCTGCTTCCTGGTTCCAGGAGCAGACAGCACTGGATGATCTGATTCAGGGTTAGGGTCCCAGTTAGTCACTTTGACTTCCCCACCTGCAGTTAGACCACCAGCATCTCCCAGAGGAAGTCGCACTCCTAACAGAAGGCAGAGTTCAATGTGGGTTTTCAGCACCACCAAATAGCTAGGCTTGCTACTGTGGACCCAGGAGTGATCCCAAAGGTTTAAGCACTATGGGGGAAGTAGAGGGCAGAGGGCAGGCTCTGCCTCATCTGGGATGCCTGCCTGTATTCTGGGGAGAAAGAAATAGACAAGAAGAGCAGAACCATGGGGAAGCACAGGTTACCTGGAACTCAGGGGCTACCCTCAGCATTGACCTTATAATCTTTCTACAGAACAGTGGGAGGCACTGGGGCACACAGAGTCAAAGTCATCAGTTATGTGTGGTGGAGAGGAAGCAGTCCCCAGTGGTGGAACAAGTTCTGGGAAGATGGCAGCAGGGCCAAGTCCTGGGGCTGACTCCCTCAGTCCTATCTGCAAACTCTGGCAAGGTACCACTCCACTTAAGCCCAGCAGCTGTGACATGAAAATAATCACAGGGCTGTAAACACAGAGCAAAGCCATGAGACCAGTTAAGTCCTAGGCAAGAGTCAGAACACTTAGCTGCGAGCAAGCCTCTGCTGACTTAAGAAGAGCCATGCTAGGGATCACTGGATATTTTTCCTGCAGGGTGTGCAGACAGTGTACAGAAGAAGCCCTTGCTCAGTGGACATCATAGACTATGGATGCATACAACTGGGCTCAGGAGGGTAGGAGCAAAATCCCACCTGAGTCTGGACTCGGAGAGATCATCTAGGGTCCAGAAGTTTCAGAGTAGTGATGAAGAGCCAGTTCTTATTTCAACTGGTGTGTGTGTGTGTGTGCATGTGTTGTATATTAACATCCTGCTGTGAAGTATGCATGGAGATCAGGAGACAACTTCACGGAGGAGATTCTCAAAAGAATCGAACTTAAATTGCCAGACTTGCACAGCTGAGCCATCTTGCAGGCCTTTAAACCTGGTTGTTAGCAACTGTCTATCAGTTAAGTTCTGCATATGTGAAATGGGGATAATTAATTATAATGCTGTTCTTGGAAAGTCTAGAAATAATTAAGATTATATTTATGTATGTATGTATGTATGTATGTGTATATATTTGTATGTATACACACACTCACACACATGTACCTAGCATTTAAGAAATATGTAACAAATTATAGTTTTGAAAACTAGAGTCAGCTGAACACTACAAGGCTCTTAGAATGCGGTGGAATGGTATCCATGAGGCAAGTAAGTTCTTCAGCTCCCATTGTAATAACTATATGATCGGTTCCCCCAACTTATAATAGTGAGTGTTACTAATAGTACCTATTAGCACTTACTGAGAGACTGCTCATTGTGTGCCTGGCACAGGACTCAACACCTGTATGGATTAGCTATGAGCTAACCTCCAGGCTCTGAAGCTAACATAGCCATCTGATGAAGCCAGGAAGGCTTGCACGCGGCCTTTTCTGGAATGTTTATTCTTCAAGGTTGGCACATTTATCAACCACTGGCTCTGAGAGTTTCCACGTGTCAAGCACGTGGAGTGTGTTTTGTTGAGTTTCATTTGGATTTGCACTGAAGAGCTCTGACCTCCCCAGAGTTCTCCTGGTTTTGCATAAGAGGCTCAGCAGAGTCTGGAGGCTAAAGTTGGCCAGACTTAAACACAACAGCAGTCCGAGGAGACTCCTCCAATGCAAGGCTGCTTTCTGTTGTCAGTGGTGTATTCTATCTCTGTCTCTTCCATACCTGGACCCAATCTTGCAGGCAGCAGGCAAGCGTGTACTTCAGCAGTCTCAGGCCAGGTAAGGCAGAGAGAGCTTAGTTCTTGTCTTCTTCACACCTGCTAGTCCCACCCTGTCTTTCTTCCCCTGCATGCTCCCTAGGTCAGCAATAAATGGAATAATACTGTAAGTGACATTTCCTAGGTGCACAGCATGGGGGACATCTGCTTGGCTTTCAGAGGGAGGCGTTATGAGGATCGTGACAGGTCCATCAGAGCCCAAGCCTTTACTGCTAGCCAATTAAGACTGAATGGTGCTGACAGACTCCTTGCCTCTGAATGTCCCTTCTCTTACATGGAAACTCTGTTATTGTCTTACAAACCACTTAGTCTGGCATCAATTATTGTGCATAAGACAGGTAAAGACATACAGCCATGGGTGCATACATCTCTGTATGTAAATATAATATGAAAAGACATATCACACACAAAGACTGTATGCACAAATATGTGAGTGTGCATGTCTGTGTAAATAACTCTTGAGAGCAAAGAATCAACCAGAAGTACACATTCTATCTCCCCATGCCTCTGCACACTGACTTAAAAAACACAGAAGCGCACACAGATTAGCCAACTAGCCATTTCAAATTATGAGCAGCAGTCCTACGAGGCAATGGTGTGGAAGGAGTAAGTCTGGAAGCATTCTTCAAAGAAAATCTCTTGAACTGTGTTTGGAAAACAAAGCTGAGGG